GCAACTATCAAGGACTAGTGTTCAGGTGATTTAATAAAAAAGATCAAGAATCTCTAACAATATCAAGACAACATCCACATTAAGACAAATAGCATTAAACTACAGTCCCACTGAGCTTGCCCCAACTCTATTTTCACCTAACAGTTTTTAAACATAATTACCTTGTGTACCAGCAACCACACTGTAATAAACATGCTACACAGTTATTAAGGTTTTCTTTAAGGGCAATCCAAGAAACTCTTGAGTCTCTTAATATTTCCACTCTTGGGCTGAAGGAAATTTCTCTGTATGGTCTGCCAAGATTTAACAACTCAATAGTATGAGACTTTAATTTTCAAAACTTTCATATCTTGCACAACATTCTTTAAAATCACTGAAACTCAATGCATTTTCCTGCTGTTGTATGTACATAACATACTTTAAAGAAGTAACTATAGGAATATTTGGAGAGGTGAAGGAAGAAGGGGAAAAGGAAGGCTATCTGCACTCCCCAAACACTAGTGTTGAAATTGAAAATATTTAAATGTTCTAAATATTTGCTGATGATTTCACATACACCAAAACTGATGATAATTTACACCATATAACTTCATCAACATGAAAAATTTCTTTGGAGATAGTACAAAATTATGATTTGCTCTTGCTAGTAAAGTAGTAAGAAATGTAAACACTCCAATAACTGGAGTTTGCAAACCCTTTTTTTTAAATTCAAGATTCTTTCTTGCTTTGGTTCGCCAGCAAAAAACCCTGTTATTATATACATGAAGTTGACTCTTACTAGAATATTCAACTGCTAAAGGATGAATTAGTCAAGGAAAGCAAAACTACTTAAAGAGGCGAAAATGATGGTTTGTGGTGATAGCACTCCTATCAGCAGTAAAAGGAAAGGAAGCTAAAAATATTTCAATTAAGTAGATTTTGATGAATCCACAAATTTTGTGGGTTGAACTGTGTGCAGTGAGCCCTCATGGAGTCCAGCACACTGCTGTCACTTCCTGCCCTTAGCAGCTCGTCCCGTTTTCTGTTTGCAAAACCTTCAATAATTCTATTATCCAATTAGAGAAGGAAATTCACAATATTATCAAGAGGAAATTAGCCTGACAGTTGCTGTTTTTCAGCTAAATAAGGTGCAGGACTTTCAGCTGTAAAGTGAGGTGAACTTGCAAAAAATGAAGGAAGTTGAATCATAGTCCCGAGGCAAAGTTTCTCTGTGCATTCCTGCTACAGTAACCCTGTGGAGTAGATTGAACTACATATTTCCCAGCAAGAATATGGGTACCTTTTGCCTTTCTCAAACTATAATTTCTCTCACGTAGGTCTATAAAGATGAAATACAAGCCAGACCATTTTATACCCATCAAATGACAGTTCTTCTACCTTCATTATAAATAACAAGCTAACCTTTACTGAACACATATGATATGCCAGAGATATCCAGTTCCAAAACATTTGAACTCATCAGTATCTAGTACTATCTTAATTTTACATATAGCAAAAAAAGACTTCAGTATTAAATATCAGATTGCTAGCACTTACACCTGAGTTTGACTACAGGGCTTTAGTAGTTCACCAACTCTGCATAGTTAAGAATAAAAGCCATGATTACCTGTGTTTAAATCCAAGCTTGACTACTAATATATGTATTTTACTTTACCTCTCTGGTCTCAGTTCTTATAAGGTTGTGATGAGCAAAAAATCAATATATATGAAACATTTGCTTAGCATGCACCAAAATCACCTAAGTGTTGCTTTATCATTATCTTTATTATTGATAATATACTAGTTTAAAAAGCACTTTATATCCCATGTGGAACAGTCTAGTTTGCAGGTTTCAGCATATGTGAAAGAGCATTAAGTGACTATTCTCATATTTTCAGAAGGGCTTGCTGCACACAATCCTACCCACAAAATGTGTGGATTCACCAATATTTTAATACTTTTACAAGGTTGGGTATTTTATCCCCCAAAATGAAAACCCATGATAGTTTACATCTCGATAACATGCACTTAGTGACTGATCATAACCAGAATCCATCAGATGCCTATATGCCATGGACACTCAAGCAATGCTGTTGGATCAGCTAGTCACACAGCACACCTGAGCCAAGATCCATAGAACCCAGTAGAGATGCACTACCTCTCCCACTACACTGTCCTCCCCTAGGGCTTTCTGCCTACTCCTTGCATGCCAAGATCAAACCACTATAGTCAAACAACTATTGGCAAAACCAAAACCTGCCCAAGTTGCTGCAAGTCCCCCTCCCAAGTGGCCAGCCCCACAGGTGTCATAAGGTAAAAACTGAGAAAGAAAATATAAGCCTGAACAGGTCACAATGTATTGTATAATCAACCCCAGTATTGAACATCATTTCTTGAAGTAGAAACCTTTCACATTGTTAGATTATTCTAGAAACTGCCTGCACATATTTTTACCTTTATTGTAAGTGAGAACAATCTATTGTTCATTTGCTGATATGCTTTAAGTACTTTACAGTCATTTAAAAAATATCATATATAAGCATAACCATGACATTCATTCATGAAGTAGTGATAAGCATCAAAAAGAAGGTTCAACTACTAATCTAATAACATGAAGGAGCAATGGAACTTTAAAAGCTTCAATACGCACACTCATGAAGTTTAAAGTACTACAGAGATGTGCTGTAATAAATTGGCCTTAGCCAAAAATTTCCTTCCAACATACTATGATATAAATCTTACATTGAGATGAGCACTTGTAAATTTTTCCCCCATTATATTAGAAGTATCCTTTCTCTTCCTCACTTCATCCTTCCCTTCCCCCACACAAGTTTTTGGCTATCCATCACCTTTTTTTTCCTCATGCACAGTAGTTAAGAAACATGACTATAAACCCTGCTTCAATCCCATTATGCCCAAACTAGTAGTTGATGTTCCCTACTTACGAAACTTCAATCTGCAGGTGTGAAGAAAATACTACTTTTCCTGCTTCCATGGCATTAATTAAAAACTAGAAGTAGGAATCATCTAATTAGAAGACTATGGATCTTAATTTAGAACTGTAAATGCTCTATTTTACGTAAAATAGCAATCCCAAGTATGAACCTATAACTCTGAAATTAGCTAGTGTGTCTATAAAACCTCCATAGGGAGGGAGACCATTTAAAAAATAATTAGACTATGGGTGCCTTGGGGAGGGTGTGGTATAACATACCTCTGAAGAGGTTTCAACCTATACCTCTTAATCATATACAGTATTGTCAATCAATGTTAACACAATAACAACACACACATAAAAATAGAAACTTTATGTGAGCACCAAAAACACTAAAGACAAAATATGGCATCCAAAAATTAACAAACAGAATGTCTCCTTTACACGCCTGACTTTTACAGACATCTCTACCTTTCCATATGGCTCAGCTACCCCAAGAATATCAAGTTTCACCTACAGAAACTTTCCATTGAAAGGACAGGGCATCATGAGGCTTCCTATCCTGCAAGTCCCTCTCTATAAAGGAGTAGGCCAACACATCTCCATTGAACCACCATCCATGAGGAGCACTGTACTCTAGAGATGAATGACTCAGTTCCTCCACCAAAGATGAAGGTATGTGCAGCCTATTTAGAGAGACCAGAAGTAACCTAAATGCAACTGGAGGATAATAAAGCCAGGAATATTTCAAAACCAAAATTTGGAATTGTTCATCAGATAGAAACCAAGAGCACCCTACCATAACGATTTGGATCCACATCAGTACATATAATTAAAATTTTCAAGTCAAGATTACCCTTGAAATTTCCATAAATCACTCTTCAGCGAACAATACAGCATATAAATAGCTGCAATATAATGCATAAAAACACAGTAGAGTTCTATACCACTATTTACATAGTTCATATAACTTAGATTAAATGTGTATATGATAGAACTTCACTGTGAAGAACTTAAGATATTTGCTGGTTTTTTTTTTTTTTATTTCTTGAAACATTATTCTGGTTTCTCAAAGTCCAGTATACTCTAAGAAACTTTCTAGGGATTGCAGATCTACTTCAAAGGGAATTTTTCTTCATGTCTCAAAGTTTCCAACGTACACCTTAATTTTAGTCTTAAGCAATTCTAATTAAACAGAAATCTAAGTCTTCTTTACTCCCAGCTAAAATTTTCCAAGATTCTGTAAGTATTCTTTATCTGACATACTTTAAGTTCTCTAACCTTTCTACTTTTCATTTTTGGGTACACAATTGTTAGTTTCTGTATAGAACCGAGTAAAAGATACCAAAGCTTATAAGTAGCAGCTTGTTTTGGCAGTGACCATCTCATCTACTCTTCAAAATGAGGTTCCTAGTACCTGAACACAACACAAGTCACATATGACAAGTCCACAGCTCATATCATACTCGACAATGGAAAATTGAAAGCTTTTCCGCTAAGATCAGGAATAAGTCAAGGATGTCTACTCTCATCACTTTTATTCAACATTGTACTGGCATTCTTGGCCAGAGCAATTTAGGCAAAGAAAGAAACCATCCAAATCAGAAAATAGAACTGTCATTATTAGCAGGTGACAAATTATATTTAGAAAACTCTAAAGATTCCACCAAGAAACTGTTAGAACTAATAAGTGAATTCAATTAAGTTGTATGATAAAAAATAGCAATGCATAAAAATCTGTTGTGTTTTTACAGAAATAGGTCAAAAAGCAAAATTTAAACAACCTCATTTTTATCAACAAGAATGAAACACCTAGAGATAAATTTCAGAAATGAAATGAAAGACATCTGCACTGAAAGCTGTGATATTGATGAAAGAAATTTAAGACACAAACACACGAAATTTCATAATCATGGAATTAAAAGAATTAGTTTTATTGAAGTGTCTATATTACCAAAGCAAGCTACGGATTCAAAGCACATCACATTTCCACTGATATTTTTCATAAAAACAGGAAAGGCCTAAAATTTGTAAGGAACCAGAAAAGACACTATATAGTCAAAACAACCTTTAAAAGAATAAAGCTAGCTTTGCGCAGTGACAGTATCGTAGCCAATGAGGTTTATCTGAGGCGCAATTATTGCTAATTAAAAGAACAAAGCTGTCTCTTGATTTCAAACTACTATATGTTATGAATCTATGGAAACCAAAACAGTATGGCACTGGCATAAAAACAGACAAGTAGATCAATGCAACAAAGTAGAGAGTCCAGAATTAAACCCTCTAGCTCCAGTCAATTAGTTGACAACAAAGCAATCAAAAACACATAAAGGGGGAAAGATAGCCTCTTCAATAAATGGTGCTGAAAAAATTGGACAGTCACGTACAAAATAAAACTGAACTACTATCATACACAAAATCAAAGTGCAATGAATACTTGAACTTAAGACTCAACCCTGTAAAACATAAGCAGCAAGCTTCATGATAGTGGTCTTGGTGATGCTATTTTTTTTTCATGAGTTTAAATTTGCCCTTCAACAGCAAAAATAAACAAGTAGAACAACATAAACCTAAAAAGTTTCTGCACAGATGACTGGATCAAAAAGATGTGGTATACATACACAATGGAATACTATTCAGCAATCAAAAAAGACAAACTCATGCTATTTACAGCAATATGGATGGAGCTAGAAGGGATTATGCTCTGTGAAATAAGTAAGAAAGAAAATTATAGGATGGCTTCACATATAGGAAACATAGGGAAACCACACACACAAAAAAAAAAAAGAAAAAAAAAAGACAAAACTAGCAAGCAAACTATAAATCAGAGACATTCAGCCGGAGATGGGGGAAGGAGATGGATCGAAACAGGGAAGGGAACAGCAAAGAAATGATGGTAATAGTTGACGGGTGTCTTGGTGGTGGTAATTCTATGAAGACACCTGAGGAAAGATCAAACATTGAACAAAAATGAACAATAATGTAAAAAATTAATTCAAAAATAATTTTTTTAAATTCTGCACAAGAGAGAAAATTATAAACAAAACGAAAAGTAAACTACTAGAGGAAAACATGTCTACAAATTAGAAATCTGACAAGAGATTAATATCCAGGATATAATATGCAATATAAAGGTCATAACAATTCAACTAAAAAATGGGCAGAGAATCTGAATACAAACTTTCTAACAAAGATATACACGTAATGAAAAGGTGCTCACTATCATTTACAATATGTAAATGAAAAGGTGCTCAATATTACTAATCATCAGAGAAATGAAAAAGGCACAATATAACCTTATACATTTTAAAATATCTATCAAAAAAGACAAGAGGTAACATGGTTTGCAAGGATGTGGAAAAAAGGGAACCCTTGCTCACTATCGATGGTAATTTAAAGTGGTGCAATCACTGTGGAAAACAGTATGGAGGTTCTTAAAATAATGATAGAACTATGATATGGTACAGCAATTCTACTCCTAGGATTTGTTTTTTAAAAAACCAACCAAACAATAACCAAAAAAAACACTTTAACGCAAAAATATCTGCACCTTCATGTTCACTGAAGTTTTTACAATAGCCAAAACATGGAAAAAACTTTTCATGAATGGATAAAGAAAATGTAGTATATAAGCACAACAAAATACTCAGCCATAAAAAGGAAATTCTGCTATTTGCAACACCATGGATATACCTTCAGGGTATTATGGTAACTGAAATAAATGAGAGAGAAAGACAAATACCGTATGATCTTACTTTCATGTGAAAATAAAAGGAAAAATTTTTAAAACCCCTGGAACTCAGATACAGAAGACAGATTAGTAGTTGCCAGAGAAAGGTTAAGAGTTGCCAGAAACAGGGGTGGAGAGTGGGAGGAATGGGTGAAAGTTATCAAGATACAAATTTCCAGTTGTAAAAGAATACAACGAAAAGGATGGTAACTATAATCAAACCGAACTATGTATTTCAAAGTTGCTTAGAGTAAATCTTAAAAATTTCTTATCACAAGAAAACAATTTTAACTATGTGTGGTGATAGATGTTAAGGAGACTTACCTTGGTGAGCATTACAGAATACATACAAATATTGAATCATTATGCTGTAATGAAATTGAAACTCATGTTATATATTATCTCTCAATTTTAGAAGTATTTTAAAGAGTACAACTACGATTATTTTGGATGAGAGTGGATACATAACCACAGCAATAAGAGACCTTAACACATAAAAATTTGTATTTTAATTAAATGGCAAAATTGCTTTATTTAAATAATTATCTGTCTGGAAAAAAAAGCCGATTTTTTCTCCTGTAACTCATAATAAACTTCAGGAGTACAAAAAGCAGTCCTCAAAGAGTATCTAGGAAATTAGCATTCATGCTAAGAGTAGGGGAGAAATTAGGAATCTCAAAAGCTATTTTTAAAAAAATGCATACCTACTTGAAATTTTAAAAATTTGTATAGCCAAAGATAACATAGCAAAGGCAATAATCAAGTATTGGGTTTGGGGAAGATTTGCAGCATAAGTGACAGTTATAGGGTTAAGTGTTCCAACAAATTGACCAGAAAAAGATAATTTAGTTTTAAAATGGCAAAATAAGCAATTCACAGATAAGCAAATACAAATGGTCCCTAAACAGAGAAAATGCCTAAACCCATTAGTAGTTAAGGAAATGCAAATTAAGTAACAATGAAACACCACTTTACATCTATCAGATTTTTAAAATTGTAAAAGAACAGTAATAACACCCACTCTGGGACTGGGAAGGGATTCTCCTATATTGCTGCTGGAAATATGTCTAATTATAGTCTTTTTGGAAAGCAATTTGGCAACCTCTATTAAAATGTCATTCATATTCCTTGATTCAATAATCCCGCATCTGAGATCTTATCTCATAGAAATGAAGGTACTAATAATTAAGTATGTGTTTGAAGCAATGTTCATAATGATAAAAACCTGGAAACAGACTCCCCATCAGTAATATTAGCGCTACTCTCTGGAATTGTATTTTGCAGTTAATCAGGGCTATAGAAGTTGACTTGGAAGAATTTCCATGAGGTATTACTGAGAAAAGTAAACTGTAGAGAAATGTATAATTCCATTTAATGATTAAACAACCCTTAATGTACACATTTAAAAATATATGTTTATGATTTTATCATTCTGGAGAAATGTAAGAAAGATAGGCTAGGTTGTTAATAAGGATTACAAGATTAATGAGGCAGGGAAAGGAACAGTGGATATGAGATAAAGAAAAGGTAGAACAAAGAGGAAAAAAGTTTGTTCGAAAATATTATACTATTTATGAAATGACCTTACTCGTTAAAAAACATGTATAAATAAATTAGAAAAAATGTTAGTTCTTATCTTGAGACAGGGGATGTTGATTCTATTTTATCAAGTAAAATTTTCAGTTAATTTCTAGAGTATTGTGTGGGTACACTCATGCTTGCATTTGTGTTGGTATGTGCATGTGTAAAAATGAGAAACCTTCCTCCTTTTAAAGTTTGTTTATAAGTACGCCTTTGTACATTTGTGTGAACATGAAAAAAGGTGAGCAAAGTCACTTAACTAGTTATCATTGGCGGGCCTCCCCTGGTGGCGCAGCGGTAGAGTGCTGTTCGATCACCAGCGAGGGTCCCACATGGTGCGCAGACCTCTCCTGCTATGCCCATTGTTCCCCTCAGCAGTGTATTTCGTCAGTCTGCCTATTCTGTTCTCCACTCTGGCTCTGGTGAATTCTCTCACCCTCCCGTGCTTCTGATTCTACCCAGTGCTTGTATGGATAAATAAATAAATCTTTAAAAAAAAAAAAACAAAAAACTAGTTATCATTGGTTACCTCAGAGGGGTGGAATTAAAAAGAGTATGGAGGGAAATGATTACTTTCTTTACTTGATAATTATTTGTATTGTTTCACTTCATGCAACAGTCATGTATTACTTTTATAATATAAAAATACTAAAGAAATGAAAATAAACTAAATGAGATTCCCACACCACATAGAGGTCATCAACCTGTCACTGAGGTCAAAGATATTAAATCTCACTCAGTGGCATCTAACCATTTGATAACAGTTAAACATTTGCATTCAGAGAAGTTTCATAAAGAAATCTAGAGGGCCTCCCCTAGTGGCGCAGCAGTTGAGCGCTGGGCTGCAAGGCTGCCCGCAGCCTCTGCAGCACCGGTTCGTTCCCCGGCCTCCAGTGAGGGAGACAGACAGGCAGACACACACACACACACACACACACACAAAGAAATCTAGAAGTAAAAAAGTAAACCCATGAAAACCCATATCACAGTTCATGGGCCCCACCCAGGTGCTTACAAGTTTAAGAACATAACTCAGGCTAAGGGTGTAACAACAATGGGGTTTATTAACAAAAGAGAGATTTGGGGAAAGGAAAGAGTTTCTAAGGCCACCAATGGCTGACTGTCCTAGAGATAGTGTCCAGTAGTCCAAATTAAAAGCAAAATGGTATTGTCTCTTCAATAAGAGCCTAGGTCTGGTGGCACACCAGTAAGTGATGGACCAGGATCCAACTTATGGTGACTGCCAGAGGTGATTACAGGTGGTGCTGCAGAGGTGGCATCTCAGTTACCAGCAGCATCCATCTGGAGGTTGGGTGGGGTCAGATGCCAGACTGGACAATGACAGATGCACCAGGAGGTGGTACCAGAGGATCAGATGTGATAGGCAGCTCTTAGAGGTGGCTGGTAACAGGTCAACAGCATCAGTCTTCAGGCAGTGGATTCCAGAGGACCAGGCACCAGTCTTATAGCTCTTAGAAATGCTGGGTATAAGCCAAGAGCAGACAGATCTTATAGACACACTGAGCATAAGGAAAATGGTATCAGTCAGCAGATGATGTTGGAGTAGGGGCTGGAGGTCTGATTAGAACGGCTGCGCAGATCTAGAAGATCTGCAAAGGTCTGAGTTGGATGAATCTGTCTGAAAGCCTCTGAAGCTCAGCTTGTATCCCCTTCAGAGAACCTACCTTTTAAGCCTGATGGGTCTGTTTACAATTTCTGAATGGTCTCAAAACCTTGAATGGCACCAGTGGGAACTCGAACCTGATTGGTCTATTTACATTTCCGATATAGTACTCAAAAGCTGAAACCCCACTAGATGTCCATACCAGATCCTTGCTGAGGTTGGGCATCTCTATAAGGCTTGTCTCTTGGTTACAGACTCTGTATTTAGCTTGGGGGCCCCAGCAAG